TAAAGAAACAACCCCGAGTGACAGCCAAAGATTTGAAGGCATCATTGGAACTGGTTAACATCTGTGTTCATGAGTCTACGGTACGTAAAACATTGAACAAGCAGGATGTCTATGGCAGGACACCACAAAGGAAGCTGCTGCTTACTACAAAGAACATTGCTGCACGCCTGAAGTTTGTGAAGGAGCACACTGACACTCCACAGCGGTATTGGCAAAATGTTTTGTGGACTGATGAAACAAAGATTGAACTATTTGGAAAGAACACACAGCACTACATCTGGCGTACAAAGAGCATTGCATATCATTATGAAAACATCATCCCAACCGTAAAGTATGGTGGAGGAAACATCATGATTTGGGCCTACTTTGTTGCATCAGGGCCTGGCCAGCTTGCAGTCATTGAGGGGAAGATGAATTCCCAAGTATATCAAAAAATTCTTCAGGATAATGTGAGAATGCCTGTACGTCAGCTGAAACTCTGTAGAAGTTGGGTGATGCAACAGGACAATGACCTGTAGCAAGTCCACAACAGAATGGCTTCAGAAAAACAAAATCCGCCTTTTGGAGTGGCCAAGTCAGAGCATTACTGAATATAAATATGAAACCTAAGGATTTAGAGTTAATTCTTCTATTAGTAGCAACCTTTAAAAATGTACTCACATCAATTTTTCTACTTTTATACTATGCAGAAGAAACCTCAGTATAATCTAAGTTAGTCTTGATTAGCCTAAGCCCTTCCACTGGTCACTGAGGCTGCAATCCTATATACTATTTTTCCCTTACTGAACAAAGTTCATTTTTATAAGAGACCACTCTGAGGATTCTCTCTTGAGAACTGTTAAGAGGAAAGACCTAAAATTAATGCCAGAATGCTGCAACAGAAGCCTCTGATCATGCTCAATGTCTTGCTTAGTGCTATGCCGCCACTGCATGTTTCCAAGCTATTAAATGGCTGGGGAGTCTTGGCAGTGAATATAGAATCCAAACCAAAGGGTAAGTTGCCTACCACTTCAGGAAACAATTACAGTACTAGAAACTAACACTGCTCTATTAAATAGGAAATCTCACATTTAGGTTTTTCTCAACAAAATTGTTTCTACTGTGCACTCAAACTTACAAAGACATCAGATTTTACATCATGTTTTTTGTTTTAGGCTATGCACTGATGAATTCTAACATTCATCCTAACAATGATAAAGATTACTTATTAATGATATTTCATTTTTCTTGCATAATAGTTTCATAACATGGAACCAAACTCTTACTTAATAGAAATGGTTTTGACCATGTGACATAAATCCAAGTTGTTGTTAGTATTTCTACCGCTTGGTTGCAGGGTCCGTGTGTTCTTGCCTAGTTAACACAGAGAAAGCTATCAATGCATGTTGTGGCAAGGGGTTTTGTTGTTCAGATAGCTTGTCACAGAGCTTGACACGGATTAGGACTGAGAGGGAGTGACTGGCTCAACTGGCTTTTGTGTCTAAAGGAGGATGAGGACCTGAGTTTCCTACTCCTAGCCCAACACCTTAACCACTACACCCAACTGGCTGTCTACATGAATACAAATAGACTTTTGAATACAAAAAATGTTTCAGATTTTGCAAATATAGCATTTCTTTTTAATCTACTACTCAAAATTGAAGAGAAAAGGATATATCTGACATTATAATAAAAGAGATATTTAATAATAGCAGCAATCTTAAAAGCAACACTAAGTATTTTTCTAGGCTGTTAAGAGTCTGCTTTCTAAAACATTTTACTACTCTAAAGTGAAAGCTGACAGGATACACAGTTGCATTTTGCCCAATTATTTCTGTTTGAGGAAGCTTCACGGGAGATTTGAAAAATGGCTATTATCTGAACAACAACAAAAGATCCAGCCCAGAAAAATTACCAAAATACCTGCAAGGAGCTACAAAAGGTGCCAAGAATAAGGAAATAATAATAATAATGAGGTAATTTTAGCATTCTTATCCCAAGATGTATATGATATATAAAAGTATTTATGCCTTCCTTGATCATATAGCATATAAAATTGTCTCTTGCATATTTTTGCTATGATAGTATCCAAAGAGTACTGGAAGTATTATACATTTTTTATACTTTATTTACCACAAAAGGACCAATGGTTTTCCAGGACAGGAGCCTGTCAATATTATTTGCTAGTTTTAAGTTCATTTCCAAGGCAGTTCAAAGTGGGGAGTCTCTACTTTTAAAGTCCTAAGCAATTTAAATATCTACAAAAATACTTCTATCTGCAGAGATTCTCTAGAAGAGATCTTGTTCAGTGTCCCACTACAGTTATAAACCATACTAGGTCATTATCCATAAAAGTACTCTTTCAATAATGGAACCTAGATTTAAAATGTATGCCAGGTTCCTTCTTTGCTCATTTTTAGAAATCCTGCCTATATGTTAATATTGAGATGTTTATTTTTCCTGGATATTGGCCTACTTTTTGATTTTTAAGTTAACACTTAATTTTTGTTCTTTTTATGAATTTATCAATTTTACCACATATTGTGCTCCTTATTTACACTATGAGTATTATCTATCTATCTATCTATCTATCTATCTATCTATCTATCTATCTTTCAAATTTGTATGCTGCCCATCTCCCCCAATGGGTGACTCTGGGCAGTATTAGTAGCCAACTTGGTGCCCATAATTAACATAATAAGCAAATTGTAAGTTTCTCATCAAAAGCAGCCTCTTCTTGTACTATAATTACATGAGCTAAAGCTAAAGTTGGAAATGTGCTTATTATATTGTGTGAGCATTGTTCCTTTATTGCTTAAAGCATAAACATGGCAGCTATTAGATCATAAAAGAGAAGTATTGGCAGAAAAACTATTCATAGCATTTGTTTCATGATAGTGGCATAGTTATTATTAGTTGTCCTTTAGTTTTATAGCTGAAGCAATTATTACTGTACAGTTTATGGACAGTTCAACAGTCACCAATCATGTGAACCAAGTTACAACTACCATCTCGTTCATGTTCCAAATTTTAATCAGGTGGAAAAATAATGTTAATGATTATAGGAAACTGCCTTATACCAAATCAGACTATTCATTTAATTATTATTGTCAAGATTGACTGAAAATTGCTAAGATTACACACTGTGGTCTTTCCCAATCCTATTGAGAGTCAAGAGACTAAATGTGGCACTTTTTCTATGCAGAAAAGGCAGCATAAGATATCCCATTACGAAGGGGAAGACCTGCCTTTATTCATTCCATATCCCATCCCACTCATATTTGAGTATTTCTTTATTAAAACTAAATATTTGGGGAAAAAAGTCTCAGCCATGACCGAAACCAAGAATACTACCACCGTTTGTCTTCTCTACTTTGGATGAAGAAAGGCAGATGTGAAATTTTCAGTCCCAGTGGGCCTTTAGTCAGTGGCACCTAATGATTCAGTTTCTTCTCCTTTGTACAAACAGCTAAGGGAAGCCAGCAGAAGCCATAGCTGAAAGGTGCTCTACTGATTCAGGAAGAAATATTCATCACATGTGCCTTTCCGCCATTTTTTCAAACCCTTGACCGTGTAACTGCCAAATGGCCTTCAGCCTTTCCACCAATTATAGAATTGAGATGACAGGTAATACTGCACACCCATTAGCACAGGCATACTTTTAGGCACCTAACAATAGAAACTCTCCCAACTTTTTCTTTGAAAAGTGCTATTAACCATACTCCACAAACCCTTATGGAATCTAAAAAGAAATAATTTTACTTCCTATGCTAATATTATTTAATTAAAACATCAAGATTATATATTAAATGGATCATGAGTATCTAAGAACATAATCTCAATTTTGGGACTCAGTCCCATCATTCTTTGTGCCTGGTATGACTGTGGCTGAATAGACTCCATTTTGCTCTAGCTATATGCCAAAGCAAGCATATGAGACTTTATTCAGTTTATCAATTCTTACTCAAATAAGGCATATTCAAAACTATGCTAATCACAGAGTGAGAGTACAATATAAGTCATAAGTAACATACGACGTGGAATATGACCGAATCAGAGCATCTGCAGAGGTCTACACAAATCAATTTTAGCGTGATATATGGAATAAAGCAATGGATCAGCACTAGGGAGATCAGATTCAAGCTTCCCCTCAGCCATGGAAGCTCACTGGGTAACTATGGGCTTGTCATTCTCTCTCAGCCCAATATATTTCACAGGGTTATTATTGTGCAGAAAAATGGGAGGATGGTTTGTTGTGTACATAAGTAGGAGCTCAGGAAGGAAGGAAGACAAAGCTCTGGGAGAATATTCACCCAATATTAAAACAACTAGTCACCTAAAATAATTCCTACTTTATCCTAGTAAGAAATGAGAATATTATGCTGAGACAATATGCTCAACATTTTGGGCTCACCTGTGAAAATAAAATACTTGGAATGATTGATGAAAACTAATTTCCCTCTTAAGTGTTCTGCACAAATCAGGAAATCTTTACAAATATGAAAAATAGATCAGTAAGAGCTTCTTTTTTTTCCAAATAAATGAGAAACATTAAAAGTGTTTAAAGAAATTTGAAAATCAGCCCTAGGAATAACATCACAAGGACATAATTTGAATTTATTACAAGACAGCTTACCCAGATTTCAGATCAGTAATCCTTAAACAGTTAGTTGCATCCAATCCCACTTTTCCATTTCTCACCACATTGGAGATCAAAGGAGAAAGTGATGGAGAGATTCTGTTTAAGGCAACTTCAGGAGACATATTATTTGTAAGTTATATTCAACTCTGCAAAGAAAATAAGTAAAAGTAAATGCAGTAAGCAAGTAGGAGCGAAGGAAAACAGAGAGAAATTTGGGCAACCATTCACAACTATACCCTACATGGTCTCTTTAAATAACATTCTTACACATGGTTTGTTCAATTTGTCCATTAGTTAATTCTGATGGGCAATGCAACTTGTGATCTTGAAATATGAACACAATTCGCTACTAGCTTGATAAACCTCCCAGTTTTGCTGCCTGCCAAAAGAGGGTAAAATGCTTGGCAGACAACAGTATATAGATGGTTCAGCATATTGCAAGTTGTCCAGCCCATAAAAATATGCTAAATAAAATAAAATTTCAGTACTAGACTTTAAACAGTACTCTTCTAATTTATCTTACAATGAACTCAGCAATCACCAACATATTTAGAATGGCTCGATTTTACCCATTTTTAAAATGTGGCCCAAAAAAAAAAAAACTTAAATAATGGAAAGTCATACTGTTTTTGATATAGGTTATGCTGTGTTTATTCTAATTATCCAAATAAAATTACACAAATGGGGAAAAATAAACAGCAAATTTAACATGCTTTTTATTTTATAAAAGTACTATATATGAGAGCCTATGAAACTTTATAGGCACCTCATTAAATATTATATGCATATGAATAAAACATTCAGGAAAGACATGTTAAGTAGGTAGCTGCTGGCAATCATTTACTGAAGAACATTTCACATCCCACTATTTTAAAACAGACACACACAACGGTAAATGATTTTATGTGATGCCCCCCTGCCCCCGGATCCAGCGTCCTTGAACATACCTTTCATAAAAACACTCCTCTATATCTAATCAATATATTGCTAAAGCTGACTCTAAATGAAATATAACAAAGATAGCATGAAGATAGGAAACACAATCCAAGATTACATCTGGCTCCTTCCATCGTAGCCTCTCTATGCTACTCTTAGAAGTGCTCCAAAAGAATCCTAATAATCCAGAAGAGATTTTGAAAGTTGGACAGGAAGCATCTACTTGTTCTTGGCTGATCTTGAAAAACTAACTCTAACGTGGTTATTATTTTGATGAGATCACCACAAGATTCTAAGCTGTAGGCTATAAGGGAAGTTGAGTAACTTTACTTAGGGGGAGGAAAGAATCTGTTCTCCTCCAACCATGTCTCTTCCATTGGAAGGTAGTTAGATTTCACCCTTATGTAGAAAATTGTGCAAAAAATATGTTTCTCAAGTACTGAAAGCACATTTTACATACATTATATTACACCAGAATTACATGATAGCGGCATTACAGAATCTACACTGAATGTATACAGATGGAGGATTACAACTAAGGCAATGAAATAGCCTCTGAAGATGGAAATCCAGATTCAAATCCATCCACATTCATAAAAGCTCACCGGGGGGGGGGGTATTGATGTATTTCTTTAATTAAATGTATATATCACCAAATCTGTTAGATGCACAAGTTACAATATAAAAACAGAGTTAAAATAACTATGGTAAAAGATACATCCAATATTTTTACATAAATTGATCCAAAGGCAAAAACAACCTCTAATGCTAAAAATTAAAGAGCCAGTATGGTGTTGGACTAGGAGGAGGGAGACCCAGGTTCTAGTCTACCCTCAGCCATGGAAGCTCACTGGACAACTTTGGGCCAGTCACTTCCTCTCAGCCCAACCTACCTCACAGGGTTGCTGTTGTGGGGAGCACTATGTATGTTGCCTTGAGCTCCTGTACAAAAGGGAAGATATATATCTAATAAATAAATTAGCTAATAAAATCCCAGTCCAGGTGGTGCACAGTCCCTCCCAAAAGATCCTCTGGGAGAGTCTAGTCTTCACTACCTTCTAGGAGGCCATCACTGAGTGGGCAGCCTAATGTCTAGAGGGAGGCTCTTCCACAATATAGGTGCCTTTTGGCTTCAGTCCCCCTCATCTGTGGAACTGGGGTACCAGGAGTGGCATCTCCTGGGAGATTCTTCTTGAAGGGTCAACTTTGGTTGGAGAAGATGATCCTGAAGTTCAGGAGCACCCTTCAGCCCAAGAAACCTCACAGAGCTGTTGTTCTGGGAGAAAAAAATAGGGAAAGAGCTACATTTGTCCCCTCAAACTTCTAAAGGAAAAATATGATACATGATGATGTGCCATCAAGTCGTTTTCAACTCACAGTGACCACATAGATAGATTTTCTCCATGATAAATGACATATGAAGCGAGATGCAATCTGGCTCCCAAATTCTCTGCTAATAATTGACCCATCAGTTACACTTTTGCCTGTAGCAAATATTAAAGGCATAAGGCTCAACAGTAATAAACACCTGCAAGTATTAGGTTTTAGGTTTGATGTGTTTCGCCAGTGGTAATGGAGCAAAGGACAGGACACAAATATCAATGCTTGGGGGAGAATGAGAGTTGCATCCATCCCATAAAAAAAGGTAATATGAGACTGAAAGCTCCTATTTCCACCGCAGGAGCTCCTACACTTGACGCAACGCCCCACAGCAAGGAAGACCAGGCATGGGAAAATTAGGTGACACAGCCACCCAGCACGCCTTGAAACGGCTCGGCTTCCTCCGTCCTCCCTCAACCACCACCGAGACTAAGGACACCTGCACAATGATCAAAAGAACCGCGTACAAACCCCGAAACTGCACCGACCTCTCGCCTCTCCCTCGCGCCGCGGGCGCCTGCGTGGACCCGCCCACTTCAGCCTGGCATGCTACGTGCGCGCCGCGAGCCGCCTCCAAACAGTCGAGAGCCCTGCCGGCCCCTCCCCGAAAGCCGAGGAAAGGAAAGCGGCCCTTCCATGGATATAGGTGGTTTGCGCGCGCCTGACTGTAAACGGTTTTATAAATAGCGAGGACGATGTTACAGCAAGGTTCTGTACTGACAGTTGGTCTCGTCGGTGGGTTGGGGGACAAGTAGGCAGGACAAGTAGGCGCGAGTTAGCATGAAAACGTTGTAAAATGATCCTCAGGCATTTTAAAGGGGTAGCCTACCAGGCCCGTGAAGGACCCCACAGGTAAACTGGGTTTGGGGATGCCGCACGTTCGATAATAGGTGGATGGTGTTGAGAGCTGGTGGAAGGCAGGCGGCTTAAAGGTCACGCTGTGGAGAAAAAGAGTCTCTCGCAGTGGCTCCTTGCTCCGTTCTTAGCATGGTAGTTGCGGAAGTCGTCGTGGTGGGATCCTGTATGACTGATCTGGTGAGGTTAGTATTGTACATGAGGCCCTGCTTTTCCTAGGAAACTACAAAAACTGGTCCAAGCACAGAAATCAGAGACTTCTTTTTATATTGAAAGAAAAATGTTTGAACCAGGAGTCCCCAAATTCTTCAGCTCATAGACCCCTTCATGAAGTTTCAGATTGTTCATTGACCCTCAAACGTTTATTATATAAAATAATTTAAAAAATACTACTCTAATAGTACTACTACTACTAATAATAATAATAATAGTGGATAGTCCCATCAACCCTTGGGGGTCGATACTGACCACTTTGGGGAAACCTGGTTTAAACCAATCCTAATCATTTGAAATATCACCTTAAAGAAAACCTAAGAATAATATGAAATAGTTGGAATAGTTTCAAGCTACATTTGAGTTAAAGGAGATTTTGCTGTGTAAATAAAGAAACAGCTTGATCACTTAAATACTATTTGCTTCCTACTTTCCAAACCGAATTGTGGCATTTTTGCCTGATGTAAACAAACTTCTGTAGACTGACCAGTAATTGTCAGATCTATTAATGATTGTGAGCACTTTGTTTCTGCTTTCTTTTTCTTATGAGGTTGGTTTTGTGCCATGGTGGAACCGGAAAAGCAATACTAGCAAGAAAATACAACTGTCCATTGGATGTCTTCATTCCCATCTGCAACCTCACAAACTATTACAATAACTGAATATTAAGAAACCTCTTTATGTTAAAAAACAGTCTCATCTATAGGTAAAGAAAGAAAAATCTAAACATCTATACAGTGTTAACATGAAGAGATGCAAGAACTAGTTGTAATAAATGGTAACATATTATAAACTAATATGTGCCACCATTTAGGAAATCCATGAAGAAACAAACATGAAAAGCATTTCTAAATTATTGTTTAAATCACCTTTTTTATTCAGTCCTAGATTTTCAGATAGTTCAGAATTTTCATCTCATCTTTACAGAGAGTAGTAGAATCAAACGGGAGCACCAGAACAGAAAATATGTTTATGATTTTTTAAACAAAAGTAAGATCTATTGATTTTGGGGAGATTTATTTTTAAATATGCTTAAGATACACACCTAGTCCTTTAAGCTCATTGGAATTTTAAAATGTATATTGCATTTTATGATTGTGAAAATCATTTGAAAGGGGTCCTGGTGTTATTATTATTATATTATTAAAAGTTTCCATGTCCTTTGGAAGACTTGTACAGTAAAGCTTCTTTAAAAGTTACCACTAGTTCTGTGTATGTGTGCGCAAGCACTGCTGTTTCAGGGTAACTTGTGCCTGTACACAAAACCTGGCGTACTTTGAAACAGCAGAGTGAGTTGATATTTCACTCACACAAATGCTTTGTGAAGTGCACCATATGAATGCTTTGCATAACTCTATTATACAGGTGTCAGCCTTTCGAGGTAGACAAGATCAGGAAACAGGCTCCACAGGAAGATTAGAACTATACATTACTTTGTTGAGCTAAACTATACTAACAGTCTTGCAAACCTGATTCTGCTTTACCTCCCCTCTCTCTTATATCCCATTGAATCAGGGAGAAAGAACTTGTTCTTAAATTGAGGATTACCTGTATCATGGTTCTTGCCTATATGTAGTACATAGGTATATACACAGAGGTGCTGTGCATTAGGAAAAGCAAAAGGTCTTTTGTGCAACTCCTTAAAACCAAATACTTTTTGCACTCATGCCAGTTGCAGAGCATTTCTGTCAAATCATTTTGAAGTGTGCACAGCCCAAATTCACAGTTCAACCAATGCTCTGCCCAGGTCTGTAGTCAGGTTTAGCCTTTTAAGCATAAAAATAATAGCATCTTTAATATTTTTAACAATTGTAATTGCCTCTTGATGTAATAATTGAACTGAAGAGAGAACTGAGCACAAAATAATAGGTAAAGTGTACTGTAGAGTGACTTTTTTATCTTCATCATAAACTAACTTTCATTGTGTCAGTGCTGAAGCATTTGAGATTCACATAATTATTTTATGCAAGAAATATTACATTAATAAAATTTTGTACATTCTTAACCCCGCGTTCTGGTTCTCTTCAGTCAATGTGCTAGTAACCTATAGTGGGACTTACAAACACAAGTGTTTTTTCCAGTCTTCCTGCCCTCAAGCAAATCTTTCTTTTCTGATCACCCCTATATGTTTGTGGCAAATATCATGCAAGTTTCAGAGGATTCTGGAGCGTAATTTAGGGTATACTCTCTTCTTATACAGAACAGCAGCCAGATGTGTTATGCTTTTTTGTCACCAAAGAATGCTTTCATTACTCTGATTCAAGTATATATTTTTCCAAGCCATATATCCATCTTTATTTATTTAGGATAATGCTTAAATACCTCTGCTTGACTTATAAAAAAAAAGTTAGAGTGATTTACAACTCAAAATTGCATCAAATGTAGATCTATGCTACCTTCTTCAGCAATCAGTATTAAAAGGGGGAATGAATAACAGTTGGAGATCACTAACCTGAATGGAAGATGCTTTTGATGAAATCAAATAAATATTTGCATAAAGCCTCCATTTTTTCAGGCAGAAGAATTAAGTAGTCATTAGTCTCAACCAGGCCAGTAGGTGAGATTCTACTGCCTTATCTCTCTCTGATTATTTCATGTGGATTTCCTATAAGGATCCATCTTGTCTCTTCCTTCTATTAAATTTGCTTTGGTAGTTAAAGTCTTTTTCTCAAGTCTTCCAGCCTCAAAATTTGATTTTTCATCTTGGAAAGATAAAAACTGTCCACACAGACTTAAAATTGGGAGATTTTCCATCTTTCTAACTCTGCAGAAATAGGTATCTCCTCATTTACTCCTCAGTGGAATATTCCTGTATTCACATTATGCTGCCAGTACAATACTGGAACAGCTGCCATATTTTATGCCTAGTTAGCATCAAAAGGGAAAGCATAAATTGCAAATAAAATGACATACCCACAGAAATGTTGTAATATTAGCTACAGTGGGGCAAAAAAGTATTTAGTCAGCCTCCAATTGTGCAAGTTCTCCCACTTAAAAAGATGAGAGAGGCCTGTAATTTTCATCATCATAGCTATACCTCAACTATGAGAGACAAAATGGGGGGAAAAATCCAGAAAATCACATTGTCTGATTTTTAAAGAATTTATTTGCAAATCATGGTGGAAAATAAGTATTTGGTCACCCCGGCTGGGAAGACTGAATCTGCAATAGGCCCGGCTGGGAAGACTGAATCTGCAATAGGCCCGGCTGGGAAGACTGAATCTGCAATAGGCCCGGCTGGGAAGACTGAATCTGCAATAGGCCCGGCTGGGAAGACTGAATCTGCAATAGGCCCGGCTGGGAAGACTGAATCTGCAATAGGCCCGGCTGGGAAGACTGAATCTGCAATAGGCCCGGCTGGGAAGACTGAATCTGCAATAGGCCCGGCTGGGAAGACTGAATCTGCAATAGGCCCGGCTGGGAAGACTGAATCTGCAATAGGCCCGGCTGGGAAGACTGAATCTGCAATAGGCCCGGCTGGGAAGACTGAATCTGCAATAGGCCCGGCTGGGAAGACTGAATCTGCAATAGGCCCGGCTGGGAAGACTGAATCTGCAATAGGCCCGGCTGGGAAGACTGAATCTGCAATAGGCCCGGCTGGGAAGACTGAATCTGCAATAGGCCATAGTTGAGGTATACCTATGATGAAAATTACAGGCCTCTCTCATCTTTTTAAGTGGGAGAACTTGCACAATTGGTGGCTGACTAAATACTTTTTCGTCCCACTGTATGCACAGCAGGGGCAAAAGAATTTAAAGCGTTAAGACACACACAACATCACTATCCTAATGTCTAGATTCACACATGTTAACCCATGGTTTGTTTTAAAAAATCTGTGATAACAGTTGCTGCATAGATGCATAAGCATATAAGCAAACATGTACCATAGACAATGACTGGGTTCATATATTCTGCAGAGGCAAAAATCAAATGTAAGTTTTATCTTTTTTGTTATTGAATTTCTGATTAACCCTCAGAATGGCTTGCACAAATAAAGTAAGTACTCAGTAAGTGAATACAGCCCATGACTCCAGTGTCACTCCACTCCAAAATTTGTGCATCCAGCAAATATGCCAGAACTGCAAGTCTTAAAGCACCCTGACAAATGGATTCAAATCTCTTTATACTGCTCACTGCCATTTAAAGCAGAATACACAATGGGATGAAGAAGAATCTATATAACACAATACCAATATAGTTTCATGAGAAGATGTATGAATCCCATCTAATATATTCTGTTAATGTTTATAATAAGCTGATTGGTGGAAGAATAGGTATTAAAAGTACTTATAGAGCTGAGAAAAGAAAAACCACAGCTCTGCAAAGCTCCTCCCTAGGTCAGAATCATGATAATTGTGATTAATAGTGCAGTCCTATCTTTCATCAAAGTAAGTCCCACTGATTTCATTGTGGCTTATTTTCTGATTAATGAATGCAAGATTATTTGACATTTGTATTCAGATTTACTTTTGAGTAAATGTGCTCAACATTTACC